TTTTCAGCCTCCCAAGTGCTGGGGTTATTGGCGTGCGCCACCACGCCCAGTCTCAGTGTGCCTTGGGAGCGGGGCCGGCATGGCACACCAGGGATCAGACCCTGGTCGCTGCACATGCATAAGCAGGCACTTTAGTCCACTGAACTGTCTGACCAGCCCCTCAAGTATATTTTTACGTTTTACCTAAGCTAATTTCTTAGGTCTCACCAAGCCTTAAAAAATAGTGTTATTGGGCGAATACCACAAAGCACTCAAGCTCAAGCTGCTGTGGTTCGAACCCAGATACTCATGGCAAACCAGAAATGCCCTAGAGGCATCTTCTGGCCTCCAAAAAAAAAAAAAAAAAAAAAAAAAAAAAAGTGGTATTAAAAAAAGCAACAGAGGGCCTGGAGATGGCTCAGTAGAATAAACACTTGCCTGGCAAGCACAAGGGCCTGAGTTCAATCCCCAGTTCTGCCAAAAAAAAGCGCAATAGGTCAGTGAGAAAAGCAACAGGCAAGCTCAAGCAAGCACAGGGACTGTAGTTTGGTACCTGGCACCGTATGTTGCACCAGCCCCGCTCCCAGGACGGGCTGAGCAGGCCACAAAACAAAAACAAAAACAAAACACACACACACCCCCCCAAAAAACAAAAAAAAACCTCCACAGATATTTGTAATAAAAAATGTTTTTATATTTCTGGTATATCTCCTTCAGGTGAAAATTACAAAGGTTTAAGTTTATTAACTGTCAATAAAATTGTTAGCCCTAAATATTGTGGCTATCATTTGTTGCTGATTAATAGCGTGCTTTACAAAGCACAGCATAAAACCTATTATTATGTACAACTAATAGGACTGAATAATTATTGAAAAATTGACTTTATGTAAAAACGTGAATCTTAATTTAAATTCCTTACCTAGTGATTTCATCATCTCCAAGCATTGTTTTAGCAACTGGTGAGTATCTGGCTGGTGATGCTGGTGTCTGGCCCAAGAAGGAAGATGGGCTAACATGATTATCAACAGGCTGAGAAGCTGCTTTAAAACAAAGAAAGTGAAAAACTAAAAAACTGAAACAAGTCACTCAGCACCTTCTATGTAAATTTTAAGGTAATGTAAAGTATAATTTGTTTACTAATTTACATATTAGAATCTAGCAGAAAAAATTTACCAGCTAAAAAAATGGCACAAACGCAATTTCCAGGTTAAAGATTACTTTAGATATTTGGATAAATCAGGCAAATATATCCTATTTGCATTCTTTTAGGCTGGGGATGTAGCTCAATGGAATAGTATCTGCCTGGGTTTAATTGTTTTCCAAACATAAAAACAAGAAATCTTTGCCTTTTTGAGAAAACACAACATTTTGTTGCCTTATACATTAATCTAGTTGTACAATGTAATCCAGGTAAGGCCATGTGAAAGTGGAAAACAAGACACATCATGCAGAGATATAAATCCCTATAATGAATGTGTTCATTCTGTATTCCTAAACTGCCAATAAACTTCCAAAAAAAAAAAAAAAAAAAAGGACAAGGACAGTGGATTTGCTCTATTAATAAGTATACTTTTCATCTGTATTTCTCCCCCTATGGTTATACTGAATATCCTAGAGTACTGCCCCTGCCCATGTGAAAGTGTTCCTTAGATAGTAGGAGTATTATTTCTTTTTAGCATTAAATAGAGAAAAGGAGCAATAACACTAGTATCTTGAATGGTAGGAAGGTCACTTCTTACCCTCAGATCCTCAAGATAGGGAATGTTACATAACATGTTTGTGTGCTCATGGCAGTGATTCAGTGGAAAGAACATCATTATGTAGTAGAGACAAGGGATAGACGTAAGAACAAGATCCTTTTGGATAGGAAATGAGATTGAGCATAGAAACAAAACTCTTTGACAGGAATAACGAATTACTTCATTATACACACGGGATAGCAGAACTTTTGGGCAAAACTGTATTTACATAAGCATATTTAAAAGCAAGAGAGTAAAGACATTCTATTCTGGGTGCTTAATGGAATATAAGATAGTCATCGGCTACAGGTGTGGATAGCAAGTAAAATTATGATGAGGGAAGAACTCTCCCGAGTGTGAGGAGAGTGAATTAGAGAAATGCAGCTGGCAGGACTGAAGGCATCCAGATCATCCAACAGTTAAATGTCAGCACAACTTTGTGCACTTCTCCAGCCACACTCAACTTTTAGAAGCAGGAATGAAAAAGACAGTTTGTTTGAAACAGTGTTAGGTACTTTTCCCACGTAAGGAGAAAAGGCCAAAGAATCAGGAGATACAAGCAAGGGAATAAGTATCATGACACAATTGAGCCTAGGCTAAATAAACAACTAGAAAGAAATGTGAAGGGGGCAATAAAGTAATAATATCAAGTAAATGGAGGTCAAAATGAAGTTGAACTGCAAGAATGGGTGTGTGAACTGATGGCTGGACAGAGAAGTGGGATGGCTTAAGCTAGTATTTTCAATATGATGAAGGAACTGATCACCACAAATAAGATCTAAAGTATTATCTAGCAAGCATTTACCTAAGCCGAAGGGGGCAAGATAGTTAGGAACAGATCAAAACACCAACAGGCCAGGGTTTTGGCTAAATTGCGTGGATTTTGGTTATCACTATGGAGAATACTATACAAATAGCAAGAAAAGACAATGGGCTTGAACTAAAATCTTCAGTGAATAAAGAAAGATTCACGAGGAAGACATCAGATGGCTACACTATACAGAGCAGGCAATAAATTGAATGCTTAATAAAGCCTTAAGGCTTAACAGATAAAAATCACTTATATAAAAAAATCAAACACAAATGCTTTTAAAATGACCCACATGAATAAACTGTTCATAATTTGTTTATATAGAATAAATATGAACTAGAATTACACAACGATTTTCATCACAGTAGCTGTGCAAGAGAAAGGACTGTGAATAAAATATGATAGAATTTGCGCCAGTAAGAGAGCTTAGTGGACAAAGTGCCTGCTTAGGCATACACAGTGACTGGGGTTTGAATCCCGGCACCACATGCCACACTGCCCTGCCCCTGGGCACAATGAGCTGGCCACTGACACAGGGCCTGGTGGTACACACCTGTAATCCCAGTTCTGGGGAGGCTGAAAACAGGAAGATCACTATGGGTCTGAGCTGTGTGGTGAGACCCTGTACCAAACACGTTAAAAAAAATTACACACACACACGATAGAAGTTGAACTAGCAAAGTGAACTACATGTAATTTTTTTGTAATATTCTATTTGTTCAATAATGGGTGGAAAACAACATCAACAACAAAGAAATAAATATCCTACCTATATAGGCAAATAAATAGTCATTTAATTATCTCTCTTTAGGACTAGCTATTCCATGTTTAAAGGTCAAATTCTTATACAAAGCAAGGAATAATAAAAAATTTTTTCTCTGCTTTTTTTTTTTTTTTTTTTGCGGTACAGGAGATTGAACTCAGGACCCTGTGCTTGCCAGGCAAGTGCTTTTTCTACTGAGCTATCCCCCAGGCCTGCTTAGCATATTTGTAAGAAGCAGCCTGGTTGCTTGTATACTTGGTTGTTACCAAGCACCCATTCTCAGTTTGGGACTAAATATCCCAAATGTGCGTGTTTGCCTTAAAGACAAAAGTATATTCAAAAGATGACCGATATCTGAATTGAACTAAATAATTACTGAAACTGCATCTTTAATCTCAAATAAAAATATACAAAAATCTTTGTATAAGACACCACCTATCCATTAGAAAGGTTGAATATTAGGAATTCACTTATCCTTGAGTAATTCACTTATATAAGAATTCATTTATAAAGCTTTCATTTTTCAATCAACACAAACACATTAAAGTATATTTCTATCTCAGTTTATACACTTAAAATATGTAAGTACTGTATAACAATTTTTTTCTTTTTAAATATTTATTTATTTATTTGTTCATTTGTTTGTTACAGGGCCTTGCTACACAATTCAGACTCGAAGTGATCCTGTCTCAGCCTCCCCAGTGCTGGGAATATAGACGTGTGACACCATGCCCAGTTTCGGTGGCTGGCACAGGGTGCCTAGGGTTCTGGCACAGCACATAGTACCAGGGACCAAACTCGGATCCCTGCACTTGCCAGGCAGGTGCTCAGAATGCTGAGCTGTCTCTCCAGCCCCAACAATTTGGTTTTATGCAACACATTGGACTGCATACAAATAGGGAAGAAACTCACAATGGTGGTGCTATACATTTGTGCTGCTGTGAGCTGTCTATTATCACTGAACGCTCTAAGAAGTTTGCCAACACTGAATTAGAAGCTTAATGCACAAAGAGAGTATCTGTGCTTCTTTAACTGAGGGTATAGAAAATTCCTTATGTCCTAGGAATATTTAAAATCAATTTCTCAAAGTACCTAACCCGAACCAGCAGCACAGAGCAGCTTGCTAATAAACTGTTATGTTACTGTGCTTAAGCTTAAAACTTTGAGAACAAAACAAAAATTTACATTATCTACAAATACTTTCTGATGACTACTGTTTACATAATATCTTGAGAAACAATGCTTCACATTGTTACGCAGTAAAAGAGAAAAGGATCCTACCTTCATATTACAAAAATTCTCACAAACTATTAGATTAAAAAGTTTAAGTCATTTAAAAATAATTTTGCAATGCTTATCTATTTGTATTATATATGAAACATTTCATTAAAGTGCACAACATTTAAAGAACATAAATTGAAGCAAAAAGACTTACAGTTGGTGATATCAGGTGGTGCATAGCCATCATTTATATACATACTTGTGGGTTTTGCCACTTTCAGATAAACAAAATCAGACGTGTTCTTTAAGGCAGTTACTGCTTCTTCATGAGTAACTTCTTCTAAACATACACTATTCACCTAAAAGAAAATCCCAAGGCATTTAAAACATTGGTATTTGCTTTCTTGACTTTGGCTATACATGACATCAAATCAGGGAATAAATATAGAAAGTGATTTAAAAGACAGAAGTGTGTGAAAAGAAAATCCATTTTTATTATTTATTGAAGTTTTACTTTTTTTTTTTGCAGAACCATGGATTGAACTCCAGCCTTTGTGCTTTCCAGGGAAGCACTTATTCTACTGAGCCATCTCCCTGGCTTCATTATTTGATATTCTCAAAGTATACATGTTAACTTCCTCTCTTATGAATTTAGGAATGTAAAGTGTGTGGGCATACTTTAATTCTTTATTTAACGATATGAGATGATGTTACAGCATATTTTGCAAATGGGTCCTTAATATTAAATATCTTAGAGACTTCCATGTTGAGATATACACTAAAATTAAAAAAACACCCACTACACACTACTTCCATTACACTGTTATATCTTACTTTATTAAACTAGTCCCAAATTAATAGGTATTTAAACTGTTCTCCTAAATGTCTTTGATAAATTCATGTATTACCAGACTGTTCATCTACTTAAGACCTTCATTAGTGCTGAATATCATTTAAAACATCAGTAAGATGAACGCCTTTACTTTCTCTGTACATCAAATTATTTAAATTTATATCTCTACTATCAATAGTAGAGATCCCCCATTCTTTATTTATCCCATAATTTTATTGATAAACAAATAGCAATGAGACAGTTTCAAATCAAATTGGTAGGACAGTTTCAATAATTAACACATTGCATACATTCTTTCTAG